GTTATTATTAAATAAAGTATTTGTTGGCAGTGCATAAAAAGTTGAGTTTGTACATATTTTATTAGTGCAATATTTCACTCTACATTTCATCTTGGTAAGTTTGCAGTAACGAACTCACTTTTCTAGTTAGTATATTTTGGGGAAAAATAACTTTTCGACATTTTCGCTTCGGGATGTAAGTTGTATATATTACAACTACAACAACTACAATAGCTACAACTACTACAATAACTACAACAACCACAACGAGTAAAACAACTGGAAAAGTTGGAGTCGGAACACCAGCAACAATTTAGAAACCAGCCAACTCACAAGGCTAACAATGCTTTGAAAAATACAAGAGGAAGAAAATACTTTAGAAGAAAATTGCAATTCTACACAAAGCACAAATTGAAAATCGCTTGTTAAATAAAAATGGCTACATATAAAAAAAAGAGAAAATGTTAAAAACCAATGGAAAATAAAAGAGAAACATGTAGGAGGAGGGTGACGAGGAGGATGGTTTGGGGTACGGGGAAGACCAGAAAGATGTGAGGTGAAGGTAATGTAGGTGTAGTTCTTAACAAAATTGTTTAAAAGGAATTTTAATAATCGTTTAATTACAATTAAATTGAAACTGAAGAAGAAGTTTGTGCATGAATGAGGCTTTAGTACACGCAAGCATGAAGTATATAAAACCAGACGGACAGCCTTGCAACTAATTGTAAAGACCATTTTTAATAGGTGCTCTGAATAAACTGTGGACGACAGTTTGACGTCGTTTCTTAGTATAAAAATGGCACTTCGTAACAGCAATAAGGCGTGAGTGGGTTTAGTTGAAGGAAATGAAAATAACGCAGCTGGTCTCTAAGTTTAAAAGTCTCTTGTCATTGTTACTAGTTACGTTGTTACTCCAGTTGTTTCTACTGCAATTATAATTATTGGTATGATGGCAGTTTTACTTAATAAGAAGTAGAATATTAGCATAAGTTTAGGCGAATTGGCGTTGCAATCCACGCTCATAGTTACCAAGCCTTTAAATCAACTAAATTTAACTTTTCTATGTCGATTACTCAAGTTTAATTTGTCTTGTAACATGGCATGAATTCTATCAATAAAACATAAGAAAAAATGATTTTGTTAAAGAAGTAAAACGCTTTGTTTTGTTTTTTTTGATCACTGTTGTTAAATTGGTGAAATCAATTTTAATAGCGCCTATAATTATGCTTTAATTAAGCAACACTTTAAATATTTCTTCTGTTAAGAGTTTCCTTTTTTTTTTGGGTTAAATTTTATTGAGTTTTCCATTTGTTTAATTGTTGCTGAACATGCAAAGGCAGATAACACTTGAATTGACTGTGTTAACACCTCTTAAATTTCCAATAATGCACATGCCGCATATCTAGCGAACGATTAAACTCTTTCGCAAGTTAAACAAAATTTATCATCATTTAGCATTTTGCTGGTATTTCATGAGCTACAGGGTAAGAACCGAATGTAATTGTTAAGAAGATTAAATTTTTAAAGTTTTGCCATGAATTGGTGTTCTTGTTTTCTGTTGCTTTTTCTCGAAACATGTTATTTTATTGGTGTTTTAGTTACATTTACACTACCGTAATTACGCAAAAACGCTGTAATTAGTGGCGTAAATAAGCGTTATCGCTGCACACGCAAAAAGTCCTTCAAAACACATTTTCTCAACGTTTTTTGCTCTGCTGAAATTCTTTTGCAGTGCATTAATTTGCTCCTTATTTTATTCCGCCACAACGTTTTCACAGCGTTTTCACCTTTCGACATTTATATTTGCTTTGCTGAAAAACTTTTCATATTGATGTAAGTTTTAGGGTTTAGAAAGTTGATTTCAGACCCGCGTTGGTGATGCCACGTCTCGTGCGTTTCTAACCAAATGCGAAAAATATTGGTGCAATAATTTTTTTCCCCGATTTCTTTCTGTGAATGTGTGAGCATGTAAATGGGAACCCCAAGTTGGTACGCAACTTAGAACAGCGTACAAGCAATGAAATTTGCTGAAATTTGCTGAAATCTCCTGATATAAGCTGAAACAGTCGGGATATAGGTTAACTACATACATTCAACTTTTATGAACTGTTAATTTTCCAATTAGCGTTAATAATTCCAATTAGTGTTACCGATTCATTGAAGCTTCCAGTTACACGAACTTTCAAGTTTAATAACAAATTTTTTTTTTATTTTCATTTTATCTCAAAATTAAATTTAAATTATAAAATTTGTAACGATTAATATTTTACTTTGTTATTCGGTGTATTCATTACATTGAAAACAGCTTAAACTTTCATGAGATGGACTTATTCCGCCATAATTATTCAAAATTTAATGAGATCCTAGCAAAAATTCCATCAAGAAAGTTTCAATGATAATAGAAATAACATATATTGTAACATACCAGTAAATAAAATATTGATATTCAGATGTCTGAGTTGGTGAATCAGCACCTTTACTCTATTTTATCTGTGGACAGTTTTAAGTCACACTAAGAATATCTGAATACGGGGCTTTATAATATGATGGATCTGATGTCTTTGTATATGCCTGTGTTTATTAAATTACGCTGTATTTTTAGGATGCTGAGAGTTGGATTATTGTGACTGTCAATTATATTGAACAGTTTCAGAGCACGATCTTAAATGTATTTTTCGACTGAATCGACTCTCAGATAAATAAAGAAAAAAAATTTATAACAAATAATATTTAATTTTAATATATACTAACACAAGTTGTATTCGGCTGATCCGAAGAGTGACTAAAACCAAGACTCTTGCTAAAGACTCTAATTTGTTTCAATATATACTAATATTACGTGTATTCGGTTGATCCGAAGATTGACGAACAACAAGTCTTTTGCTAAAGTCTCTAATTTGTTTCAATATATACCAATATTACGTGTATTCGGTTGATCCGAAGAGTGACGAAGACCATGTGTCTTGCTAAAGTCTCTAATTTGTGCGCAAAAGAACAAAACTCCTTGCTTGCTCTAATAGACTAGTTATAAATTGTCTAATCATTTGAGAAACTGTAGAAAAAATGTAACTACTCGTGAAACGATAAGTAATCTAACGAATAGTCAAAACATATGTGAAAAGTTTGTTTACAAAAATACAAATAATATTAAAAACTTTTACAAGTTTGAAAATTGGGGAAAAAAATTGTTATAAAAATATATATACCACTAATGATGGGTATTTGGCAATACTCGAAACAGCTGTATGGTCAGCCAATAATTCAATTAATTAAAATAATATAAAAATAAATATTTGTTGTTCGAGAAAACCTCTTTATAAAAATATACAAAAATTGTGAAAAATAAATAATATATTAAAAACATAAAAATTTTCAAAAATGCATAAATAAATTGTGATTTAAAAATATATTGAATTTTTTAACTTATTAATTATTTAACTTATTAATTTATGTTTATTAAGGCAATAATGTTTATAACTATAAATTTTTAATAATTTTGTTGTATTAGAAAATATTTAAAATTTTCTAATTTAATAATATTACCTTTAATATGCTATTTATTTTAATTTTTATTATATTAAGGCATATTTAAATTTATATAAATTTGCTTTAAATTTTATGTACATATATAAAACTTGTTAATTCTAAAAACATGATATTTGATTGATTGTAACAGTGATGCCAATATTTCAGCAAGAGACTTTAGTAATAGACTTGCTGTTTTATGCCATACTACAGAATAGTCGAACACACATTCAGGATTTAAAGACTCATGTTTGCAACCCTGAAATATTTTTTCGAAAGAAGGACGAGGTAGGTATTTTCATTTAAACTGTACTAAACAGTAGAATTGAAAATAAAATAAATAAATAATAAATTAATATAATAAATATATTTATAATAAATAAATATTATAATAATAATAATAAATAATACACGAATTGATTTATTTTGATAATTATTCATAATAAATGTACTACATTAATAAGATAAATATGAAACGATAAAATAATATTTGAAAAGATTATTTTTGAATATATTTTTTAGGTTGAATAGTGCTGTTTTCAGATTCAACAACTCGAGTTCCATTAAATGTTCTATAGTCAATAAATAATGATGATTTTTCTAACTTTTGTAAAAATACGATTGATTTTGTATTTCCTGTAACGTCTATATATATATGTTTTCAGAGCAGGTTTTAGTTAACTAAAACCTAACTAGTTAGGTTTAGTTAACTAAACCTGTTTTTAGAACAGGTTTAGAATTCGTATCGAATTTTGAACGAAGTATTCAGGAGCACGACTAAAGAGTTCAGTAGTGAAAAGACAGTTTAAAAATGTTCAGAAGAAATCTTTTAAGCATGTCGGCCATTATAATAACTAAAAAAAACGTTAGACTGCTGTAAGAAAGTCATTAGACAAGCTAACAGAAACGATTAGAAAAATAAGCTTTTTACGATTTTAAAATAAAGAAAATGCGAACTTTTATAAGGCATTGTTTACATTGAATTCGATTTTGAAGGTCATGATTGTGGACCAGAATTTAATGTGTTCCATTGGAATGTCGGGAGCAAGCAAACAAAAGTATATACAATCACAAAAAACAATTATTATAAATGCTTACTGAAAATATTTCGACAATTATTTCGTAGTTTCAAAATTCATTTTGAAATTAAATTAAATATATTGCATATAAGTATATAAATGCATTAATTAAAAATCAGATTGTGTACCAATGAGACGAGCCATAGTGAACGTCTATTGGCAACGCGAACTGAGATAATCTCGTAGAATAATGTATTTAATTTAATAAATAAAAATTAGAGAGAGAACTGAAATACTGAAATAGAATAAATATTATATTTAAATTATGGTATACGAAAATGCATTTTTGCAATTTAATCACGTTTACTGGATAAATACTCTCGTTATTGTATGTTTTTACAAACATAGCTTAAGCTTGAAGGTAATAATGCTGAAAAATCAAGTTCAGTTCTTAATTTGACTTGGAACGGATCAAGTGTTTCTAATTACAATTTAAAGAATGAATGACAAACAATTAATTTTTATATGCGCACTTCTCTTTTATTTGTATTTCGATTCGAAAGAGAAGAAAACAGAGGAAACCATTATTGCAAAAGAAATTCAAATAAATCAAACCTTTATTCCGGCAGACGTTCTAAGAGGTAATGAACTAATTGATCATTTTATTTTTGAAGACAAATGAGTGTGTTTATGAACTTTTAACAGTCCAAATAGTTCTCCAGGGTAGTTATTATATTTTAACAGTACCAATCAGTTAGCTATGGGAACTAGTAACCCATTTATATTTATTTTAATTGAGTTATGTAAAGAGCCAATAGAAGTGAAACACTTGCTAATGGGTGAAGTATTGATAGTGCAAAAAAAAAAGTGTAATATATATACATATGTATAGATAAGGGCTTTGACTGACGTGTTTATAGTTTTCATTTATATATTCATTTATATATTCATTTATATATTCATTTATACATTTATATATGAACTCCTCAAATTTATATTTTTTAGACTTTCCCGGAAAATGTTTTGCCGTGAATCATTGCAAAACTTTTGAAGTTGGAGAAAGTTGGGATTTAAAAACAAAATGCGGTCGTTCAACATGCGTTCAAGATGAACTTATCAAAGACAAGTAAGTGTTTTTTTCAATTATTCTTTTTATTTGTTTAAAATTCTGAAATGAAATATTTATAGACTTTTCGAAAAAGTGGAAACCTGCGAACATTTGCCACCGAATAAAGAAAAATGTGTTGCAGGTATCGACAAAAGCAAAATAGTTGTACCATATCCTCATTGCTGTCCTAACTATATTTGCGACCGACAATTGAAAGAAAAAGAGAATAATGAAGAAGAAAAGAGAAAAAGAGAAAGGATTGAACTTTAAAAATATAATGTATATCTAAAACAATATATAATTATAGCTACCACCCATAAATAAAAGAGTACATTATTATGTATTATATATTAAAGTAGTCGTGCTGTTTGTACAGTTCTCTTATTTCACTATGTAACATATTTTATTTAAAAATTAAAATATAAAATATATATCCCAAAATTAGTACTTAATTAAGGGAGGGAGATATTAAAAAAGAATTTAAGTCAATTAAGGTAAACGATAAGTCAGCAAAAGTAGTTTATAGGTAAAGCTCTGATTTTTTAGGAAATTAAAAAAAAAACAATTATCAGTTTTCTCTAAGCAAACTAAACAATTCTTCAAACTTTTTATAATTTTTTTTAAAAAATACAGTTTTGTTTCATAGACGCTTATCATTTGAAAAATAACCTACTTTAAGAAATACCAAAATACTCAAAGATATTATTTTGAATAGCAGTAAATTCGATGAGATGTATGATACCCTATGTAAGAGTAATTGATAATAATATAGGAATTAATAATATTAGTACCGCTTTACCTCACAGTGGATCAGAAGTCGCAAAAGGTTGATAATTCCAAGTTCTCTGGATCTGTTCTACTGCAGTAAAAATGATTTCTTCATGCGATTTGTGATAAAAAAATTAAACATAGTTGAGGTTAAACTGGCAATCCCATCATATAAGGTTTCGGTCTTCATATTTTGGGTTGTTTCTCTAATGTATGCATCACTTTTGAATAAGATCGTATTAGTGTATAAAGCCAAACTTTGCTTTAAAACTGTTAATATATTGTCCATGAAACAATGTAATGTCATTACAATATTTTTAAACATTTATTATAAATGCTTACAAAAAATATTCAAACGATCTGATTGTCTATATTGATAAGAAACGTAATATTAAATCTAAATTTTATTATTTCGATAAGAAATAGTGACTTTCAATATTATACAAATATATAAATATTTAATATATTTATATATAGGTATAATGTACTTATAATACCGAAATTGCTGAGATATACAAAAATGTATGCTTATGCATGGTGTGTTTATAAGGCCACGTATACCAAATGTAATAGTACCTACAGTCAGTATTTTTATTTATTTCTTATAATATAACTGATTTTTATATAACATCACATTTTCTTTTAAGTTATTACAATTTTTCTTTTGTAATTAATTGCAACTTTTATTATATCTTAGATATATTTTCTCTTACATTTTTTTTATAATTTGATGTTTCATTTATAACGGTATTGAGATTGTTCTTGTTTTTTGTAGATAGTTTAGTGAAATACTAAAATTCATTTTTTTTACTGTGAACGTCCTCAAATATATACTATGGATGTAATGCTATATAACATATTTGAGTTTCTTATTGTAGAGTTTGTCAGTCGCTACAGTAGACCTCGTGTAATATATAATAATTTGTTTGAGCGGACTAATTAGTCAATTTAAATACAAAATAAAAACTATAATTTATTATTTATATTAAACAAATTATATTTTATTAAAATATTATTCCGATATTTCGACTATCTTTGATATTCAACTTCAGGGAAGCTAACAAAATACACAATTTAAAATTTATAAAATATCATAAAATCTTCCTTAAAAACCATTGTGTGAAAATTTTTTAGATTTGCCTTTTAATTTCATATTTTACTTTCTTCATATAACTTTAGTAATCATAAATTGCTTTATTCTTGGGTTTCTATGAGTACGTTATCGTCTACATATAAGTTTATGCAAATTTTTATGATTACTGAATAGAATTTTATTAAACCCACCTACAACGATTGGCAGTTGACTTAGCACACATAGCGGTTAAAGTCCCGACTGTAGAATTACTCTTGCAGTAAAGGATTTGGATCATCTAAAGTATTTTCCTTGAGAGACATTAATTATTAAGCTTATGGATAAAAGAGTCTCCATCAATTGAATCAAAGTGTGCTTGAAAGTATATATAGAAAACGTATAATTTATCTACTTTTTACTTTTTCAAGCTTCCAAAAATTGGTTAGTCTTTTGCGATTTCTATGTGTCGTATTTCCACTAACCTCGCTAAATTTCACGTTCCTGTGAATGTACGTTCACACTGTATTTTTTAGATGAGTACAGCATTTTAACCAGTTCTCTTCTGCACACGCAAAGAAATCGTATGTTTACACAGCAAATAAAATTGTAATATCATAAATATGTTGAAGTTTTGTTGAACCAGTGCACTCTTTCTTAACTCGATGTATTTTCAAAGCCCCTCTTTACGCCTCTAAGCCAGTCATTATTGTTTATAACTTTATCAGACTAAGCAATAATTGACCTCAGATCTGCATACCTCCCCGATACGCCTGTAATCATTTTGAGATTTGATATCGCGGTGTTGGTAAGTCTGTTAGTTTTCGCAAATAATTTCAGAGCTCTGTCCTTTATGTATTTTTTCATCGGATCAATCTTGAGGTCCCTGAGGATGTCATTTGTTCTAATGTATCATGATACTTTGAAAAGTCTTCTCAGAGCCTGGCTTCGTGCAATTTCTAGCTGACGAATAGTAGTGTTTGAAGCTTTGCTTAACGTTACACATCCATATAAAAGTGACGGAAGAAATATTTGGTTATATATCAGCTTTTTGTTCTTAGCATTGAGATTTTCATTTCTGAATAGCGGTTGGAGGTGATGAAGAATTTTGGCACAGATAATTCATTTCAGTTGAACATGTTTAAGCCATGTGATTCGTTTGTCGTGATACCGATACCGATGTCGTGATACGTGATACCGACATATTTAACGCAATTCTAAAGAGCCTAAATTTTTTCATTATTGATTTTTATTTTCCATTTCTGGAAATACTCCAGAATAAGGTTTTATCTGAGTATAGCATACAAGTATCGTCATTATAATTTTACATATTTTTATAATTTGAAAACTTTTAAGGAAACTATATGACTATATAAACTATATAAATGAAGTAATATAATTTATTACCATTAAATTTTTAGAATTTATATCAAGTTGGTGTGACAATAATTATACTGAAAAACATAGTCAAAAAACATAAGTAGTTATATTTAGTTAAAAATCTTGTTAAACTTGTATTGATTTATTCAATTTTCACATTTTTATCGCTGTGTATTTTCGTTATATACAAATAATGCACACCCAAAAACATACGATTTCACAAATGTGCATTTAATGCATTTTATATTCATGCTCATGATTCTCACATGATTCTCATCGCTCAGTAGAGAATTAATGTCAACACAAACAAATTGAAACAATTCCTTTGTTTACTAATAGTTTTATAAAATTTGTTAAATTATAAATATCTGCGTCTATTTATTTTTTATATTTAAAGCATATATACAATATATTTACAATAATATATCAATATATCTATTTCCCATGAACTAGAGGTAATACCTAATTTTGTAAGTCAAATAAACTTTATAAGCGAAATTAGATGTTTGTACGTTATATATTTATATACATATATATTTTTACTTATAAAGCAGAAAAAATATTCGCAATTCCCACTTCAACAAACCAGCTAGACCTATTAGGTATAATCTCATTTTCACATATTTTTAACAACAAGGGAACAATTTTGCTGAGAACTTAGCAGGCAAAGAAACTTAAAGTATTAGTGTACTAGTTTATTTCAAATAAAGCGGACGTTTCCATTTTTTTCTATTTACGATAAAAACAACATTTACCGACAAATATGGTATTTGGAACTACTAAGCGTGATAAATTTTTTTTCATTTGTGGATTCTTTCTTGCATCGTATATCTTCTTTAAAGGGATGCAAAGAACGGAAATTATGATTGAAAAGAATCTAAAACCAAATGAATACTTAGTCTTAGCAGATGTTCTTACAGGTAACAAAATAAGTATGTAATTATTAATTGATGAGATCACTGTTGTATATATCTCTCACTACGTTTTACAAAGTATATTAGATAGGTGCAAAATAAAAATCAAAATAATTGATTGAATACTTTATAATAGATAAAAATAGTGTTTTGACTGAAATCTTCTAGTTGAAAAATAAATATAGAATTTATTTATACATTTGAATTTAGTATATAAAAATTTATTGAACTAACAAAATAAAAGCAAAGTATTGCATTTTTGTGATGATTTCTTTCAATGTAAATTACAAAAAAAAATACAAAAAATATGTAAAAATTCTTTTACATATTGTATTTATAAACAATAAATGTACAAAAATAAATAAAAAAATTTTTTTTTTAATAAAAATGATCAAAATGATGAATGATGATCCATCACAGATCCAAAATAATGCCATTTTACACGTATAATGTATTTATTTAATTTTAAAGACTGCGTTTTTATACCTAGTCCGCTTTGTACTTTTTAGATTAATACATATGATCCAATTCATATTTTTCAGACTTTCCAGATAAGTGCTTTGCAGCGACCCACTGCAAATTGTTTGAAATTGGAGAAACTTGGAACTTAAAGACAACTTGCGGTCGTTCAACATGCCTTCGGGATGAATTTAACAAGAACAGGCAAATATTTTTTTATCAATTGTTCAGGCATTTTATTTCAAATACTTAAAAAATTATATGAATAGGCTCTTCGAAAAAGTGGAAACCTGTGAATTTTTGCCACCGATTAAAGAAAAATGTACGTCAGATAATAACAGAAGCAATATAGTTGCACCATATCCAAATTGTTGTCCTCAATATGTTTGCGAAGAACAATCGGAACAGGAAGCTACAAATGAGAGAAATGAAGAAGTGGAAGAAATAGAAAGGAACGAACTTTAAAGAACATAAAATTTATAAAAATTGTGATTAAAATGTGTATTTAGAAAAATATACAATTGTAAATATAGTAATACAATATTATGTATTTTACATTAACGTGGACGTATCAATTTTTAAAAAAAGTTTGTTAATAAATATAAAATGCGCATTAATGTTAATTACTAATTGAAAGAAGGACATGTCAATCTAATATATAATATATACATAATATAATTGAAGTAACTTTTCAATTATAGGAAATTTAAAAAACTTGTTCTTAGTTATGTTTGAATAATGCAAGTACTTATTTACCCTTTCAGAGGATAGAACATATTTCAGAAGGGCTTATTCATTAATTTAGGCACCTACTATTTTTGCAATTCTTAATAGAATAGAATAATCTTTACTATTCTTTGGTCGTAAGAAATTACAGTTATCATTATGGTGCAGTTATCGTCAGCTAACTACACTTGATCTAAATACCGAAGTCCGCTTGAAAACTGAATCTGATATAGCTGAAGCAGTAGAACATTTGAACTTATGTTTCGAAATGATAATCTGGAAATCAATTCTACTGTTTCTTAGTAGTGTTAAGCAAGAATATCCTTTTAAGATTACCATTGGCAGAGGACGAGATTCCCTAAGGGTTAAAACTTGCTTAAACAAATGATGTAAACTGGTTTAAGGCCTTCTAATAAAGTGCAACAATAGTTGCACGTTCCTCTATCTGCAAATCCTAAGTGCTTCAAGTGATACAAGTTACTCCTTCAAGAAAGCCATAAAAAAGATCAACAGACCGATCGCTTATCAACCACTTATACGCAAAACCGACAACTCATGGGCAAGAAGCGACGTCGATAAAGCAGACACATTTGCGTTACATTTAGAACAGGTCTTTAAACCAAACGATAATCAAAATATACCAGATATCATGAAACAAATAATAAATTTTCTACAAAAGATATTCTATTACGGCAGTTAGAAACATAATAGCGAAGGTAAAAGTAAAAAAAGTTACATAACACGATTTGATCGCAGGGATGGCCCTGCAGCAGTTACCACCAAAAGGATTTGTATTTCTTAGCCATTTATTTAACGTTGTGTTAATAAAAGAGTTTATTCCGCCGCAGTGAAAGATAGCGCAAATCTTCATAACACCGAAACCAGAGAAAAGCTCAAAAGACTTTAAATCATATTGACCAAAAGGTTTACTTTCGATCTTGTTGAAAGTTATGGAAATCTTGTTTTTAAGCGCCTTCACAGTAATTATTCAACAAAATAGATTCATCCCTGACCAGTTATCGCCAAAAACATAGAACAAATTCATAGACTATTCAGACATATTCATAGCGTCATAGATGATAAGAAATATTATACTGCGCCACCTATACATATTTCACAAGCATTTGATAGAGTATGACATAAGAATCTACTCCTTCATATAATATGTTTTAAATCATACCTCTCGAAAGAAATAATATATTCGACAATCAGTGCAGAAACATCTCGTATTATAAGGAATTACGCTTACTGTATATATATGCACCCAAAACCTCTGGTTGCACACCTAATGTCCTCCTCAAACGCTTTTACAAGACTGAGAAGAAAAAGAAGAAGAGAAAAAAACATCGAGAGACGTTTTAAGTATATATTGATATGTTACTGGGCATAGTCCATTAGTGGCTTTACTTTTTCAGTTCTTGATAATTATTATTACGATTTATTTAGGTCGTGTGCGAGTTAGGCTAAGTTGCGTTCTAAATGAGGGAAATTCTAAGTTGTGTCGATAATGTATTGATGTGTCGATACGTGTTGATAAATGGCAAAATGTGTGCAGTGCAAAAAATCCCAAAAAATCTCCCATTTGGTTTAGCATCAACTTAGCCTAACTCGCACACGTCCTTAATAAATATTACTTACTGTCATTCATACCTGACTTATTATAATAACATAAGTGGATTCAAAAAAAAGCTTCATGTAGAAACAATTTGCCATAAAAAAGCATAGTAGATACTAGATGTGATCAAAGTCGATCAAAGATAACATCGCGTTGATTATTCTTAGCGCTATTTTTACGCGACAAATAGAATTTTTTCATCCGGTACGAGACAATAGATGATATAGGGATCATTCAGAACCCTTCAGACCAAATGCAGCAGTTTGATGAACAAACAGCAATCGGTAGAAATCACCCAAAGCACGGCATATTATCCACAAACAAAAACGGAAACTGAATAATATGATATTGTAAAAGTAGGGAACGTATCATTGGGTGCCAAGTCGGGACTGTAAGTAGTTGACCCATCAATTATATGTTTTACATTCTCAAAAACTCTTTTGTTTGAGCGGTCGTGTTAGAGGATGATCATTTTTCGATAATTGGTTTTCCTTATTTCTCCTTAGACATACTGCAAACAAATGGTTGTGTACCATTCAGGATTGACCGTGCTTCATTGTTCAAGTGATATAGTTGAGACATGACTGGTTTTTCTGAAAATACTTCTGATCATTTGCTTGGATTTGCTCCGTCCATGGACAAGTTTTGTCAGATTCTGCTCACTTTGGAAGACTCAAACAAGAGATTGCGGATTTGTTTTAATCTATCACTTGTCACCTTGTAACGATGTCGTGGACGTGTTTTGAGCTACCTCAGCGGTATTTTTTCGGCATTTTCTTGCCCCAACCAACACATTCTATTTTTAGAACAATTGTCAAATTATGTGAAATTTAATGGGAACAAAGCTTTCTATGTAAAATTCAATGTACACTCAGAAAAATAATTGGGTTGATTTAACTTGATTTTAACTAAATCTTAGGTTAAAATATTCTTACTCGATGCATCATGCTGGTTCAACCATAACACGTGTTAGTTTTAATACGGATATCTTCTTTACCACATGAGCTAAAATTTCTCTAACAAAATGATTAGGTCAATTTAAGTAGTATGTGGTTAGAGCATGTTTTTATGATGGTTTGTGCTAGAAAAGGTCAAACTTTCGAATTGAAATGTTCTCATTCAGTTGACAATGCTTGGTGTTGGCTACGCGAAAGACTTAAAATATTCAATATATCTTATTCAACAAATAAATGGAACTCATTTTTACTTCACGCTATCTGTTGTGTATATTGTTTTTAATATAATCTAATATATTGATTCATTCTTAAAACACATCATTGTTAGTTAAGAAAACCTTTTTATAAAATTAATTGAAGAATAAAAATTTGTTTATAAGTAAAATTTAAGAATAACACAGAAATAAACTCAAAGAAATATACTCTGTTATTAAAAAAGTACAATAAAAAAGAAATAACCAAATAATTAATAAATAGCCAAGGAAGAAATAAATATTATAATGAAGCCTAAAAATATGCAGGGAAAGTAAATAAAACACCTCAGCCGTTGCCTACCAACAGGCGCAAAACAATGAACAAAGTTAAAATTTCGTAAGCAATTCATTTATGAAAATCGCACTTTCAAGATAAAAATTCTGTAGAAAATAAAGCAAAATACAAAACATCGTTGCTAGTTGGCAAATTTCAAAGACGCATCTACAGACAACAATATTTTCAGTGTCTGCTCCATTGTAAGTATATTGCACGAGTATCTCGGTAAGTATGTACACATGACTCATACTCGAAGGACAAAATTTATTTATAAACTGTTCATTCCTCACCTGCATTATTCTGAAGTTACCCATTTATTTTATGGTTTGTTTTTCTGTGCCTTTTAGCAAATTTTTGGCACCAACGCAATTGAGCGGGTGTCGTTGAGCACTTTATGCACTGAACATAATAATAATAAAGTTTTAGATTTCCACTTCTGCTTACTGAATTTATTATGGAAAGCTCGCATAGAATCTTTTAGGTCTATGGAACTTATTCTTTTTCCCTCTACTGCATGGCTTGTAGAGACGGGCGGCTATTGTATTTGGTATTATGAACGTGCAAGCGGTTTGTTGTCCTTTGAAAGAAAGTTTGCAGTTGTAGTTGCAGTGTAAGTTATTGTTATTATTTTTGTATTTCTTTTTATTTTTGTTATTATTTTTATCTTTTGCAACCTCTTTTTGTTTTCCGTGTTCATCTGCTACTGATATAGTTGAGCATTTGTGTTTGTTGCAACTTCAAAATGAAATAAATATATTCAGCTCAAAACATTTAAGCTCGATCCAGATATTTAATTATTCACTTATTTCGCAGTTATAATCATTTCCATAGTTGGATCTTCTTTAACTTCCTTGGGCAGTCACAATTGTGACACGGCAAATCCAAAATATGAAGTAGAGTGAGGTTGCGTAGTACTTGATCGTATCTCTTTAAAGAAGATATCGCTCTTCCATGAACTTCATCTTATCTAAAGCTCATTCTGCACATTTAGGATATGGATCTCATACAGCTGGTCATACAAGAAGATAAACACGATTACCGCAATTGGCAGCGAAGATCGCGGATAGCTTGTTTGTGTTAAACTAGGCTCATCGCTCATTTTCATCGATCATGTTTCTGTGATATTATTTACTATAAAATAGATACAATAAGTGACTTAGAGAAGACTATTTTTGTACATCTAGAGAACTTGTTTTTCATTTGTCTTGCAAACCTATAGTTGTAAATGTAGAGAGGAATGATTCTTCACTACATACCATACATTCAGAAATGTAATTTGATTAATTTAACTTGATTTTAAGTAAATCTCAGTTTAAAATATTCTTACTCGATGCATCATGTAGGTTCAAGCATAAAACATGTTGGTTTTCATATCTTCTTTACCACATCAGCTAAAATTACTCTAACAAAATGATGCGGTCAATTTAACTAATATGTAATTAGAGCATATTCTAAAATATGCTTTAAAATTCTGAAAGAGTGTGTTTGGCGATAAAAGTTGTTTTGATTTGTTTTTATTAACCTAAAGAATTTGCCTCTTTAGGTTAATAAAAACAAATCAAAACAACTTTTATCGCCAAACACACTCTTTCAGAATTTGTACACATCCCTTGACATCGATATATGCCAAAAGCACAATACAATACGGTCAAAGACTATATTGTTGCTGCGCCTACATTCTCATAGTGTTAA